CCGGGGGCCTCATGAGTTGTTGGTCTGCTCCTGGTATGCAAGCTGTATAAATTGTGCTGCATTATAGCTCAGATACTAGAGCTCCTTATAGTGGGACAGCACACGCACATTGCACTTTTACTGCTGGTAAATATTGAGATACTTCCCAGATTTTGATTAGTTGTTCTTGGACGGACAATTCGAATTAAAAAGGATTAAAAAGATCCTCTCTTTCTGATTGATAATACTGCGAATGCAAAATAATGCATGTTAAATGAAAATCAGAGTGCGTGTTTGTCGAGTAGTTGTGTTTTTAATTTACATTAATATTATAATTTTAAAACAAAGTGCTTTAAAAACTTGGCCCCAAATTAATAACAAATCTTCTTAAAAATATGTATTTAGCGTATGAATCTCACAGTGGTTAACACCTTCCCGCTCAGTCTATAGCAGACTGACAGCTGGGTGAGACACTCGCCATTGTGACTGGGCGTCATATGACGTCTTGTCAAAACGAGCCGCTCACACGGTAGCGGGGATGCGCAGCAGAACGATCTGTCACCAGCTGTGTCCACGGGACACAGCTGATGACATATCACTACACTGGCCCGTTGCCAGTGTCATTTGACCACTGACCAATCACAGCAGATCACATGTCAATTGTATACAATAGATGGCATCCTGCCATGCCATTCATTTTATACAATTATGTTGTTAGCTGTGACTGGTCAAGACAGTCACATGATGCAGACAGGGCCAATCACAGCCCATCTGTATCATGTCATGAGCTTTGCCCACTCACAGCTAATCACAACAAAAGACTGAATGAATCAGTTTCATTCAGTAACAATGATTGCAAATATCAATGAAATACATTGGTATTAGCAATCATGTGTTAAAAAAAAAATCCTGATCACTTGCCCAGAGTAGTTCAATGTTACTACGATAACATTGTATTGCTTTGGTCACAGTGTGCTGAAAAATGAAATAGTAAAAAAAAAGAAAAAATGTAATAAAAATATAAAAAAAAAATAGAAACATTTGGAAAAAAAATACAAATTCAATTATTATTTTCACCAAAGAAATGTAGCAGACTACATTTTGACCTAAATTTATGAAGAAACTTTATTTATTTGCAAAATTTTATAACAGAAACAAAGAAAAGTGTGTTTTTTTTTCAAACGTTTCAGGTGTTTTTTTGTTTTATTTAGCAAAAAATAAAAAAACTCAGTGGTGATTAAATACCAACTAAAGAAAGCACTATTTGTGTGAAAAAAATGATAAAAATTTCATATGGGTACAGTGCGGCATGACCACACAATTGTATTTCAAAGTGCGACAGCGCTGAAAGCTGAAAATTGGCCTGGGCCGGAAGGGGGTATAAGTGCCCGGCAGGGGCGGACTGACCATTTGGAAAATCGGGCACTGCCCGAGGGCCCGGGGTCAGTAGGGGGCCCCATGAGATGCCCCTGGTACCTTTTTCATAGGCTTTTTTGAGTTTGGGCAAGGACACAGGGGCCCCATGATCCCCTATTGCCCGGGGGCCCCATGAGTTGTCAGTCCGCCCCTGGTGCCCGGTATTGAAGTGGTTAAACATTGTAAAATGTATGCACTGGGACTGGCACAATAACCATATATAAACACACCCAACCAGGATGTATATGTGTGTACATGGGTGTGTCTAATTGTTTCTGCCTCTATATATAGTAGGCCTGGCATACTGATGTGTTAAGTATGGGTAAGTGCAGTGGATACAAGCAACCTATCGTGTGCAGGAGATTAGAAAAACAAAAAGGTCACTTCCCTTGCTCATGATTAGAGTTTGATGTAAACAGATTTACTACACATCAGTTTCCTACACAGTTTAGTAAGCACATGTATAGATGTGCACATGTAGGGCTTCATTCACACATGCATACTACAGGGCCATGTTTGTCCACATGGGATGCACAGGTGTTCCATGCATCTGCATTCAAATAGTCCCATAATGGAGGCCACTGGCTCATTGGGATCTTGAATGCTACAAAAAAAGTTCTGTACCCTTCCCCAGGTCTGTGCCATGATACAATCCTGTCTCGGAGGTTTATGGACAATTCCTTGGACTTCATGGCTTGGTTTGTGCTCTGACATGCACTATTAACTGTGGGACCTTATATAGACAGGTTTATGCCTTTCCTAATTACGTCCAATCAACTGAGTTTCCCACAGGTAGACTCCAATCAAGTTGTGGAAACATCTCAAGGATGATCAGTGGTAACCGGATGCACCAGAGCTCAATTTTGAGAGTCATGGCAAAAGCTGTGAATACTTATGAATGTGTTTTTGCAAAGATTTCAAAACAAACTTCTTTCATGTTGTCATTATGGGGTATTGTTTGTAGAATGTTGAGGAAAAAAGAGACTTTAATCCATTTTGGAATAAGGCTGTAACATAACAAAATGTGGCAAAAGATAAAATGGGATGCGGCGGTACTACATGCAATAATAAGTGGCAAGTGTGTGCTATTATTGATAGGCAGCGCACATGTTGCGGGCCAGTTTAGAGACCATTAATCAAGATGGCAGACAACAGCATGGACCAGCGTGTGGTGATAAAGTTTCTTGTGAATGAAGGCGTAAAACCTGTGGATATCATCAAGCACAGTGATGAGACGCTCAGCTGAGTAAGACATTTGAATGGTGTAAATGTTTCAAAGATGGCCACTCAACCGTCAGTGACGATTCCGGATGTAGTAGTTCCCAGTCCACAGCAGTCATTCCTGAGAACATTCAGCATGTGGAACGCCTGATCCTGGAATATCGACCGGCACAGAAGAGTTGAAGTCTGCACTGCATTGAAGGAATGTTTTGACAGGGAAGGCCAGGATTTTCTGGATTGCATCATTACATGTGATGAAACCTGGGCACATCATTTCACTCCGGAATAAAAATGAGCATCAAAGCAATGGAAGCATGCGAACTCACCACCACCAAAAAATTTTCGAACACTTGCATCTACAGGTAAAGTGATGGTAAAGTGTTTTCTGGAACAAATGTGGCGTTATGTGGATTTTCTACCCTGAGGTGCTACTATCAACAGTGAATGTTACTGTCGTGTTCTGAGTGATCTGCATACGCGTCTATGTGAAAAAAAACAGCCTGGTTTGATCACTAAGGGCGTCCTGTTTCTCCAGGACAAAAGCACAAGCTCATACTGCTTGTCGCATTACTTGCACATTACAGCAACTCGGCTGGGAGGTATTGTTAAATCCCCCTTACAGCCCAGACCTCGCTCCGAGTGATTTCCACATGTTTGAACCCCCTAAAAGAATTCTTTGGAGTACAGCATTACAGCACTGGTAAGTGTATAAATGCTGGGATAAGTGTATAAATGTAGCAGGGGAGCATGTTGAAAAATAAATGCGGTTTCCACTAGTTGAAATTTGTTATTTTATTATATAAACTCAAAAGTCCCAGCTTTATATATATATATATATATATATATATATATAATATATATAAAGATAGATAGTTTGATAGAGGTATTTTTTATAGAGGTATATATATATATATATATATATATATATTGTGGGAACTCGCTTCAACGTGGTAGAGCTTTTAAACGCAAACAGCTACTCGCTTTCTTTTTCAAGGGCCTTTTTTAGCCCACTTTTATTTAAATGAAAATGTCCCATAACATAATGCTTCCCTCGCAGGGGTATCCACCAACAAAACAAAGATTCAGCCTCCTGGCTTACACACAGTTCAATGTCTGTCTCCTGCAGACTCTTCCCAAATTATAGCCACTAGCACACAGCTAGTCTGGCTTCCACCTGACTCCAAGGCAGAGACCTCCCGTCTGCCGGGGTGGAGCCCTCCTGACTCCTAGCTGCCGGGGTGGAGCCCTCCTGACTCCTAGCTGCCGGGGTGGAGCCCAGAACCCTGGTCCTGACTCTCTCTAAAGGCCTGCACACACCTGTGCAATCAGTCTCCTGGCCTATCCCAAAACCTGGTCCCAGGATTGGAGATTTCATCCCTCCCAGATCTCTTTGAAATCTCTAGGCTCCAGATCCCAAAACAGACCTTACAAACAAAGGAGGAAAATGAAAAGCCACTTTCCTCCATATCAAACCTTTACCCTGGGAGCCCCTCAACCTGCCTTGTTGAGAATCCAGGGTGACAGATCGTCACACTGTCACATATCCCCCCCCTTTTGTTTTGATCCCGTAGGGGGCAGAACACACAACTTATACCTTCTGGCACCTCTGTGCCAGCTCTCACTTACAGGGGTCCAATCTGGTCTAACCATACTTTTCCTAAAGGGGAACTCTACCCAATGACTCCTTTGGTGTCTCTCCCCAAGCCCCATTGTCACTCTGCTATGGGCTCTAATCAGACCTTGCCTACTCTTTTTCCGGGTGCACTTCCATAAACACTTTCTCTCTTGAAATCCCTAACAGGGTCCCCCTGGCCTTTCTATTGACCTTTCTGCCCCTTTGCTTCAGGTGCTTAGGTTTCCTAATACCTCTCCGTATTACTGTCCCAAGGCTGTAGGGGAACTATTTCTACTGTATTTGTACCCGGACCACCCCCCTGATTTCTTGTACCTTTAGCTATCAAACCTGCATGACTCATTACCACAGCATTCAGTTTACCATGAACAGATAACGTCCAGTCAATATTACACCTTTCAATATATTTTCCAGCATTTGTTAGGACAGTGTCTGCAGAGGGCACACACACCATAGGGCAGCCATCACCCACGTGAACCTCACAAAATGCCACTTCACCTGGTGTCATGCACTCTGCAGGCGGCTGTCCAACCATTTTAACTTCTCCTACACCACTTGGATCTGTATCCAAACCCGGTACAGATGAGCTCTCTTTTGATCTATTTTGCCAGTTTTCACATACCATTTCTCCCTGTATTTCAGGTGTCTTATCAGACCTGCTACATAAACCTCTTTTTGGCCCAATGACCCCGATTTTCTTTATGCACATCCGTTTGAGCCCTGGTCAGGATCTCGCTGTTCTCTGGTCCATGCTCGGCCCTTCCATCTCATGTGGTTTGTCCAATGGTGCAGTCAACACGCCCTTCACTGACAACTGATCAGCACCATCCTGGACCATAGCAGCAGAAATGCTTCCCACCTGGCTGTTAGGAGGTGAAACTTTTTTTGACTCATTTACAGGTAGTCCAGCAGCATACCCTGATACAACTTTTAACACCATCAACAAATTCAGAAATAAACCACTTTCTTGTTCCCGTTTGATCTGTACAGCAAGCCATTCGGTGTTCCACCTAGAGGTACTCCACAGTACCAGACCATCTGACTGTGGAGGAGACACCCCAGTATACATTGGTTTGTACATTCCAAAGTTCAAGCATCTCCTTTAATACTTTGGTTACAACCCAACCACTTGACTCTAAATCTAAGACCTTCCTGACCATATTTAGGGCACTGGGAACGCTGAGAGACTCACCTGCTGAGACTTGAGAAGCTGAAACTTTTAAAGGGACCTCCTCCAAGCTGGAGATAACCACAGCCTGGTGCTCCACCAGAGCGCTGCCATGGGCTGGGCTCACTCTCAACATCTCAGACTCAGCATCCACAAGCTGCCCCTGATCATTCCCAGTGACAACATCATTTTGACACTCCATGCCAACATCACTTTTGTGGGTCACAGACAAAGTCTCTGCTGTATGCATGCCCTTATCTATAGGCTGTTCTATAGATCCTCCTGCTGGCACAGCAGAAACAGTGTCCACCTTATTTTTTTGCATAAAAACCTCATCTATCAATGAGATTAGCCTTTTACCCCAACTATCCCAATCCATTGTATATGTGCTCAATTCACCAGTGCTCCTCAGCACCGAACCATCCGCCCAAGGAGACACATAAGAATAGACGGGCTTAGTTGCAGATCCATTGCACAAATCACTCTGGATCACGTCTGACTTGGGTAATACCTGTTTTCCCACTGCAGGTTGCAATACCACACATCCACCACTTTGCTCTGGTGGTGCTTCCTGAATTACACACACACTTGCATTTTTTGCCAGGCTGCATTAACCTGCTGTTCACCTGAACACTTTCAGGATTATTAGACTGCACCAACACACTCCTATTGCAAGGTGCAGTTCCACTCTGCTCCACCAGAGTGACATCGCAGTTGTCCAGGGCAACCTCCAGCTCCAATACACGGAGACCCCTGGAGATGTCCAAGGACACCTGTGCTGTCTTACCACCAGTTGCTATGGGAAATGACCCATCTTTAATTACAGCTTTTGCACTGCAAGAGCTCAGGGTTTTCCCAACAGCAGTACATTTCTCATCAACAACAACCTTAGCATTTTTAGCTCTTGTGGGCTGTACTAGCCTACTACCAACCTGTGACTGGCACACATTAGTGACATCACTTTCTTTTTGAGAACCATGCACAGGTTTTACTTTAACCCCTAACTCCCCACCGTACAAGGCACTGCACAGGGAAAAGTCACTCTCAAAAGCACATTTAGCGGCCCAACTAACTGGGGTCACTCCTACATCAGAATGGACAGTCTCATAACCAGTCCTCAACATGACAGTCCCAGCCATGGTTTTATCACACACAGTCTTACCCACCACAGTAGTAGGTGTCACCATCTTCATTTGAGTGCGTTGTCTCATAAACGCATCCTCAACTGCACTTTCCTTGACAACTTTTCCCTTGCCCCAAGGTGAAGTAACAGACGCCATCATAGGCTCCATGGACTCTCTGGCACCCCCTGCAGGCCCAACAGGAACTTCCCTGTTGCCAGAGGTGGCTGCCAACATTTTCAAACAAGAATCTGGGCTTGATGTTGTAGACATTTGCCCAGTATCAGCGGTATTCCAGAGTCTAGGACAGGAAAAGATCCCATGCCCCCACTGACCACATTCCACGCAGGGTATATTTCTACTCTTATCTTTGTTGGGACACTGAGCCACATCTTCAATGCAGCTCCTCCTTCCAGGCACTACCTTTTCTCCGGTCGCCATGGGAGATTGCACTCTCCAAGCAGAACTTTGCTGGCTCTTTCCAACACGCTGTATTGGCTCCTCTTGATGCCACTTGCCATGATCCTTGTACGACATAGCCCCCCGTACACAGACAGCCCGACTGGCCTCCTCTGTGTTGCTATGGGCCTTCACTCTTGGTCCTGGCCTCTGGTCAGCCCCTCTCCTTGCACATAGCATAGGCTTCTCTCTGCTGGACCCTCTTTCAAGCCGTGACACATTCACATTTTTCACAACAGCTACTGGTTTAACTGCAGCAGCGTTGCCAGGGGCACCAACACCCCTCTCCCAGGTACGGACATCCTGAAGCTCTCTCCTTGCACTGAAGGTGGGCTTGCTTTCCTCTGTAGGTTGGTTCAATGCTGCCAGGTGCCGCTTGCACCAGTCCACAGCAGACTCACCCACATCTAAATTTCCCGGCTTGGCTGGGGCATGCGGTATATAACCCCCCTAGCCACAGGGCTCTATCTCTCGCTTCAGCAAACATTGCCTCCTTTTTCTGTTTTGACCGCCCCATCTTTGCAGTCATGCACACAGCAGTGTGTTACACAGTTCAGCAACACCATGGAACACTGTCTCTTTAAGGCAAAGTCCTTTTCTTTAGCAGGTTCTCCTCACCTGCACACACAGGTCATGCAGACTTATGCACCAAACAGTTCATATAACTGATGAACTTACTTCAATCGCCGGGATCTCCAATTCTGCCCACTGCATCCTCCACCATATGTGGGAACTCGCTTCAATGTGGTAGAGCTTTTAAACGCAAACAGCTACTCGCTTTCTTTTTCAAGGGCCTTTTTAGCCCACTTTTATTTAAATGAAAATGTCCCATAACATAATGCTTCCCTCACAGGGGTATCCACCAACAAAAACAAAGATTCAGCCTCCTGGCTTACACACAGTTCAATGTCTGTCTCCTGCAGACTCTTCCCATTATTATAGCCACTAGCACACAGCTAGTCTGGCTTCCACCTGACTCCAAGGCAGAGACCTCCCGTCTGCCGGGGTGGAGCCCTCCTGACTCCTAGCTGCCGGGGTGGAGCCCAGAACCCTGGTCCTGACTCTCTCTAAAGGCCTGCACACACCTGTGCAATCAGTCTCCTGGCCTATCCCAAAACCTGGTCCCAGGATTGGAGATTTCATCCCTCCCAGATCTCTTTGAAATCTCCAGGCTCCAGATCCCAAAACAGATCTTACAAACAAAGGAGGAAAATGAAAAGCCACTTTCCTCCATATCAAACCTTTACCCTGGAGCCCCTCAACCTGCCTTGTTGAGAATCCAGGGTGACAGATCGTCACACTGTCACAATATATATATATATATATATATATATATATAGTATATATCTTCATTTGTGTATTGGATGTTTTCCTGGAGTTCAGATTTTAAGGAATTTCCTATGTTCTTTGCACGTGTCATCTATAAGCTCACAGAAAACTGTGTACCTAATTTTTACTTTTACACAATAAGATGAAAGATTTGCACAGGCAGTGGAGCATATGACATCTGCAAATGTAAAATATTGCAAATTGAAAACAAAGTGGAGTTAAAGTCACTCAACAGTAAATAGACACTGGATCATCAATAAGTAGAATGTTCATCAAACCTTTAAAAATAAATGTACAGTATTAAAGCAATGAAGCCACTGTGCTAGATTATTATCCAGGATGTTTAATCATGTCCTAGTAGCAGCTATGCTGTTTGCACACTGAATACTGTTTAAAATAAATACAGACTGAATTGAATATCAAACAAAGTAAATTATGCCAGGGATTAGCTGAACATTGTTATAACACAGTTTCCCTCTAAGAGGCAATATTGTGCTAGGACAGTTTGAGCTAAAATATTATTGCTGTTTTATTAAAACGGTCTTTTTATTCAAAGTAAATGTAAGCCATACATTATTCACTTTAAAAGTGACGTTAAAAATTCTATTCAAGTATGTATTCTTAACTCAAAAGAGTACCTTCTATTGGTCTTAACTTCCTTTAAATCTCTAAATTCTTTTTTTTCCTGCTGTGATTCGACTTGTAGTTAGAGCAGTGGTTCTCAACCTTCCTAATGCCGCAACCCTTTAATACAGTTCCTCATGTTATGGTGACTCCCAACCATAAAATTATTTACCAAGTAATTATAATTCATGAAGTGTCGTTGTACCTGCTGCTTTCAACACAGTAGCTGCTTTTAAGAGAGTAGCTGCGTTCAACACAGCAGCTGCTTTCTACACAGTAGCTGCTCTTTACACATCGGAAATATGTGTATTTTGATGGTCTTAGGCGACCCCTGTGAAAGGGTCGTTCGACCCTCAAAGGGTCACGACCCACAGGTTGAGAACCACTGAGTTAGAGGGTGGTTTACCTGTTCTCCATTGTCCCACTATATACAGGAATATGGCCACCTCTCTCTTGCTAGCCCTGAGCTGCACGAGAAACTGTGGTCTATGAGATGTGTAGTGTGCATTGAGCAGTGTACACACGACGACCTGAACTAGCGTGCACTTCTCTTTTAAAACAAATGGGTGAGAGGGGAAAGGAGAGGTTTGGGAGCTCAAGGAGGATGTTACAAGGAGGCAGAGACACACAGTAAGAAACAAATTCAAGACCAGTATAGTGTTTCGAGATATTTTAACCCTTTCCCTGCCAGGTCCTTATGACGTACGGACCTACATCCCTCCTCTGCTATAAACTCACCTTCACTTCAGTGACCATGAACTTATATCAGAACCGTTCAGCAGACTCTGTTGACAGACCAATAGTTCTATTAGTGGCTAACAAGCTGCTGATCCAAGTTATTAACCTAAAATGTGACCCCCTCTCCCCAACAATTACCACTCCTTCTCTGCTTCTCAACCTATAAAATTACCAGCTTCCCTCCTCTACCTCTCCCGCCAGTGATTTGCAGAGCCTCACTGCAGCTGAGATCTCTACACCCTTCCTGCACCCCCAAAAGCTCCTCCCTCCCCCCAGCACGGCCAATAAACCCCCCCCCCCCCCCCTGCCAGCACCGATCCCCTGTGGCTCTGCAATTACCAGCTTCCCTCCTCTGCCTTTCCCGCCAGTAATTGCAGAACCTCACTGCAG